GTGATATATGTAGCCTGCTCTATATACAATCTATATACACTGTGATATATATAGTCTCCTCTATATACAATCTATACATACTGTGATATATATAGTCTGCTCTATATACAATCTATATACACTGTGATATATATATAGCCTGCTCTATATACAATCTATATACACTGTGATATATATAGTCTCCTCTATATACAATCTATATACACTGTGATATATATAGCCTGCTCTATATACAATCTATATACACTGTGATATATATAGCCTGCTCTATATACAATCTATATACACTGTGATATATGTAGCCTGCTCTATATACAATCTATATACACTGTGATATATATAGTCTGCTCTATATACAATCTATACACACTGTGATATATATAGCCTGCTCTATATACAATCTATACACACTGTGATATATATAGTCTGCTCTATATACAATCTATACACACTGTGATATATATAGCCTGCTCTATATACAATCTATACACACTGTGATATATATAGCCTGCTCTATATACAATCTATATACACTGTGATATATATAACCTGCTCTATATACAATCTATATACACTGTGATATATATAACCTGCTCTATATACAATCTATATACACTGTGATATATATAGCCTGCTCTATATACAATCTATACATACTGTGATATATATAACCTGCTCTATATACAATCTATATACACTGTGATATATATAGCCTGCTCTATATACAATCTATACACACTGTGATATATATAGCCTGCTCTATATACAATCTATACAAACTGTGATATATATAACCTGCTCTATATACAATCTATACACACTGTGATATATATAGCCTGCTCTATATACAATCAATATACACTGTGATATATATAGCCCGCTCTATATACAATCTATATACACTGTGATATATATAGCCCGCTCTATATACAATCTATACACACTGTGATATATAAATAGCCTGCTCTATATACAATCTATACACACTGTGATATATATAACCTGCTCTATATACAATCTATATACACTGTGATATATATAACCTGCTCTATATACAATCTATATACGCTGTGATATATATAGCCTGCTCTATATACAATCTATATACACTGTGATATATATAGCCTGCTCTATATACAATCTATACAAACTGTGATATAAATAGCCTGCTCTATATACAATCTATATACACTGTGATATATATAGTCTCCTCTATATACAATCTATATACACTGTGATATATATAGCCCGCTCTATATACAATCTATATACACTGTGATATAAATAGCCTGCTCTATAATCTATACACACTGTGATATATATACAATGTGTACAAACTGTGATATATATAGCCTGCTCAATATACAATCTATATACACTGTGATACTTAAAAACCAGCTCTATCAATATAGAAACATAGAAACATAGAATGTGACAGCAGATAAGAACTATTGGCCCATCTAGTCTGCCCAATTTTCTAAATACTTTCATTAGTCCCTGGCCTTATCTTATAGTTAGGATAGCCTTATGCCTATCCCACGCATGCTTAAACTCCTTTACTCTGTTAACCTCTACCACTTCAGCTGGAAGGCTATATACGCCGTAATATATAAATATATATGTATGGATTGCTCTCTATATGCAATCTATATGCACTGTATTTCTATACACCGTGATACACATAGCCAGCTCTAGATACAATCTGTATACACTGCCATACGTACCACATATTATATACACTGTATCTAAATACCACTGTGTGCATAGTATGATATAGTGTGTTATAATTACTATTATTATTATTATTATTAATTGTGAATTCAGGCTTATCCTGTAGAATGTTTGGTGGCATTTGATTGTGATCTGAGCAGTTCAGTTCTTCCTATTCTTATCTAAATGCCAGGTAGCTCAATCCAGTTCATATTTTTATTTTAGCTCTTGTTTAATCATTTCCTCAGTATTTTGTAATCATGTGATAGGCTGACCCTTCTCAAAGCCCCCTCTGGGAGTAATCAGTTTATTAGGATATTAGTTCATTAAAAATCAAAGATGGAAAGTTTTGCCCAAGATCGTTCCTTTTGTGTAACACCAAATGCCTAAACAAGTTCCCCTCCAGGGAAGGCCACTTGAGCTGGGATCCCTGTAGCAGCCGCACTGACCCAAGTGCTGGGAATTACAGGTTCATTGTATGTGGATGGAGTGGGCAGCCTTGTTACAGGACATAACGACCTGGCTCTTAACAGAATTTGCCAAAAGGTTTATTCTGGAAAAACAAACCTTTTCCTCAACATAATTCCCTCTCCGCAGCTTAAGAAAATAACCAGCAAAGAGAAAAATTGGAAATTGAAGAGGTTCCTTTTTTTGTCTTTTTTTAAACTAATCCATTCAAATGAAAAAAACAGATAAAACGTGTGCAGTTTGATTTTTACTACAGGGCATTGAAAACACAATCGACAAATATTACTGCGAAAAATCTGAAATGTGACAACAAAGTTTCAAACAGATATTTTCTTTTCGTCAAAAATGTTAGAAATCCGTAAAGTGTGTTCAATTCATCATCCTTCACAATTTAATTAATTCTAAGCGAGAAACCTAAAGCGATTAAGTTAAACGTTGATTTTAATAAATGAGGGAGGGAAGGAGGGAGGCCTGTAGTCGTTGTGGAAGGGAGCTAGTAATTATTTGCTATCCGATTTATTCACATGGATTGTATTTATATTCGGAGTTTGTAATCACAGAATTTTTACTGTATGAATTTGTAAACATTGAATTATATGTTTTATTAAATTCAGAATCCTGGATATCTGTATGTATCAAGTTTGTAAAAAAAAAAATCATAAATAAAAAAAAAAAAAAAAAAACTTTTAAATAATTTTCCTTAAACACTGAATTCTATAGTGTATTAGTATGACGTAGTAAACTGATTATTATATATTTTTCTATGTTTTTTGACGTTTCGACGAATTAGAATTCCATGTGGGTTTTTTTTTTTTAAGTATACTGTATAAAGTTTGTAAATGATGCAGTTTTCTATTTTATGATGTTTGTAAACTAGAAATGGTACATTTTAATTTCGGATATATTTTTTTTCCACTCTCCAGGTTTTTTTTTTTTTTTATAAACATTGAATTCTTTATAAACATGGAATTCCTTACTTTATAATTAGATAAATGATAGAACGCTCTGTCGAGTGTAATGTTTATGAACTTGGAATTCGATACTTTGTGATGTTTGTAAACACAGAATTCTATCAGGACACCTTTACATTCTAAACAGCTTCCCGGCTAACCAATCTTAATAATAATCAGAGAATTAACCTCGACAATATTATTAGTAAATTAAGAACCCTCATCACAGTGCTTCCAATAAACAGCCCAATGAGTGTCTAATAAACACTGCCCTGTTATAAAGTCAGGTCCCCCATCTCAGTGACCCTTTAATACATTAAGCCAGGGGCTCTCAGCAGATCCAGGCAATGCTGCTATTAATGCAACGACTTGGCCGCTTGGAGTGAAAGTGCCCAAATTTGTTTGCGGTTGATCAAGGCTGGCCGGCTTTCCTTCACTTTCTTTATCTTAATTCCGACTTGAAAAGATATAATTATCTAGTTTGAACAGAACTGCTATGAAATCCTTCTTTAGACAGAGAGAGAAAGTGTGGAGTGGGCTGCTGAGCCCAGAGCTGCTTGGTGTAGTCTGAGATAGGCTGTTAAATGAAGATGTGTTAGATTGTGATACAAAGGCCACTCACCTCATTAGCATGAAACCTTTTATTCTGCTTTTCCTGGGCCCTTTCAGACTCCCTAATCCCTCCTATTTTCAAAGCACGATTTGTAATAAAGCTTTTAGGGGGTTTTCAAAGCTAATAGTATTCTCTGAAGATCCGATTGCTGGTTTGTTGTATGGAATAAAGAATACATATATAAAAATTAAGAAATTATATATTAAAAAAGGGAAAGAGAATGGGGCGAAATTCTTATTCTGTACAAATAATCTTTTTTTTTAAATCAATGTTGGAAACAATTTCTTGAGAGGCCATCGGGCTGTTGGGAGAAATGTGTTTAATATTGGGGTGTCAGACAGGCGGATATTTGAAGTAAAAAATAAAATACATTCGGTTTTAGTGGTAAATGAATCCATTTCTATCTCCCTAAAACCTCCAGCGCTGGCTGTTATATAGCTCGATCTGCCCTGTAACTATGGAGCGATTTATAGATTAATAAAGTATTCGCTCTGAGATGGACATTGATACAATGGATTTATAAAATGGATATTTGGCATTTCTTTTTATTTACAAGCAGACACCCAGCCCACGTGCATTGTACACAGTAAGTTTGGGCTGGTAATTAACTATCCCATTCTCTCTGGGTCTTATCGCTGCGTAAAGAGTAGTCAGATTGTCCTAAATTATGTCCAACCAGCCCCCTGGATCCACGGATTAAGAGATTAAAAGAAGACCACTGTGGCCGCTCTCTATCCCCCCTTAATATTTCTGGTATGATAATTGGCTAAACTGATTTGCACTTTCACAAAAGCTCACAGAACTCTTTGTAGCTGCAACACACAAAAAAAAATAAGAAGCTGTTTCTCTGTCAATGGAATAAAAGTGATTAAATCAGTCTATCAGGATAAGGAAGAAACAAGCCTTGTACTGCAGCCCTGGCCAGCAAAGGTCCCAGCACTGCAAGGCTGCTTCTACAACATCACACGGAAACTGGCCACATATTAATACACAGATTGTAGCATTTCACATTGAGCGATTTATTATTTCATTTTAAACTAATATTTTTGTTTTGACTTTTTTACTTAAATTTTAATTATTTTTTTTATTTGTGACTCTTCATTCCTCCTTGACATAAACCAGGCAGGAATGATAAAAAAAAAATATATATAACATAATAAATTAGGAAAATATAATATTTAATTAGTTGAGACACAATACAATGTTTCTAATTGTAAAGGTAGAATATTTTTTTCTAATTAAATAAATGCTGAGTTGACATGGATAACACTTGGAGCATTTGAATAAATCTTTATTGACAAAATATTGACAGGGTTCATACTTCTTAGAAGTATATAGTGTGTTAGAATTCTAACAAATTAACACAAACACCAAAATATGTACAATCTGGTATAGAAGACATAAGGAAAACAATCGATTTGTTTTATTAATATTATTTCATTATTATTGTCCATGTTTAGTAGCTTTCTATATATTGGACCAGAATCTCAGTGCTTCAAAAAAAAAAAAAAAAAAATGTGATCAGTTTTTTGTGTTTTTTTTTTTCAATTTATTTGAAAGATCCATTAAATGTCTTTACTGTGCCAGGATTCTGGGGTTAAATGCACCACAAGCCATGGGGAATTGCACCAAATAAACTTGTCCTTTTCAATTTTATTTTATTTTTTGCAGAAAATCCCCCTCCAATATCTGGCAGCCCATCATCCCTCCCCAAATTGTGTCCGGTCCCTGTGGCCTTTATTCATTCTACTGAAGGTTCTTTTTCACAATCACTTGAATTATACCATAAAATGTATACAAACTGCACATTTCTCTTAAAAAAAAAATATATAAAAAATATAAAGCACACAGAGTCAGTCCTCCCCCCTCCAAAAAACAAACAAAATTAAATTAAAAAAAAAACTTACAATATTTTCTGCCATCTGAAACCATTTGCTCGAGGTTTCTCATGCAATTCAAGTTTTTGTAACAGGTGTTTCCTTATCTTTCATTCTTTTCTGTTTGTTTTTTTCTTTTTCTTTTTTTTTCGCTGTGAAAAAAAAACTGAGACAGAAAAATTGGAAGTGCAAAAATTGTCCTGTGTTTTTGTTGTGTGTGCTGTATTCCCCTGTCTGCTGAGCACCTGCCAGGAGGAGGCTGTTTGTTGGTTTGTGCCCCATGGATTGTCCTGGGGCAGGGACACTTTCCGTTTCTCCTGGTTTTTGGCGTTTGTTAAATAATGACAGTTCAAAGTGCTAAGGGTTAATCGTCCGATGTGACATCTATCTCCTCAGGGCTGGCCTGCTTGGTTGCAATTCTCCACCGGTTGATGTGATGGGTCCCTTTCTTCTTCTGAGAGGAGTCTGATCCTTCCTCCTCCAGCTTCTGCCGTTTGAACTTTGTTCTTCTGTTCTGAAACCAAACTTTTACCTTTAGAAAGAAAAAAAAGCAGATTAGCGTCACATACAGTACAATTAGCGTCACATACAGTACAATTAGCGTCAACAACGGATTAGTTCAATGATATCGGATAATTTGCGTCAACTACAGAATAATTAGCGTCTCTTTAAGTGAATAAAGCCCCAACAGTTACAGGAGACCTGGGGCCAGAATTAATAAAGCGGTTCCAGGTCTGTGTGTAATGGGGAGAATTAATAAAGCGGTTCCAGGTCTGGGTGTGAATATGGAGAGAATTAATAAAGCGGTTCCAGGTCTGGGTGTAATGGAGAGAGAATTAATAAAGCGGTTCCAGGTCTGTGTGAATATGGGGAGAATTAATAAAGTTCCAGGTCTGGGTGTAATGGGGAGAATTAATAAAGCGGTTCCAGGTCTGGGTGTAATGGGGGGAATTAATAAAGCGGTTCCAGGTCTGGGTGTAATGGGTAGAGAATTAATAAAGCGGTTCCAGATCTGGGTGAATATGGAGAGAATTAATAAAGCGGTTCCAGATCTGGGTGTGAATATGGGGAGAATTAATAAAGCGGTTCCAGGTCTGGGTGTAATGGGGAGAATTAATAAAGCGGTTCCAGGTCTGGGTGTGAATATGGAGAGAATTAATAAAGCGGTTCCAGGTCTGTGTGTAATGGGGAGAATTAATAAAGCGGTTCCAGGTCTGGGTGTGAATATGGAGAGAATTAATAAAGCGGTTCCAGGTCTGGGTGTAATGGGGAGAATTAATAAAGCGGTTCCAGGTCTGGGTGTAATGGGGAGAATTAATAAATCGGTTCCAGGTCTGGGTGTAATAGGGAGAATTAATAAAGCGGTTCCAGATCTGGGTGAATATGGAGAGAATTAATAAAGCGGTTCCAGGTCTGGGTGTGAATATGGGGAGAATTAATAAAGCGGTTCCAGGTCTGGGTGTAATGGGGAGAATTAATAAAGCGGTTCCAGGTCTGGGTGTAATGGGGAGAATTAATAAAGCGGTTCCAGGTCTGGGTGTGAATATGGAGAGAATTAATAAAGCGGTTCCAGGTCTGGGTGTAATGGGGAGAGAATTAATAAAGCGGTTCCAGGTCTGGGTGTAATAGGGAGAGAATTAATAAAGCGGTTCCAGGTCTGGGTGTAATGGGGAGAGATCACATCACAGCCTGAGACAGACATTCCTTTACTGGCCACACCAACTCATTGCCTAGGTATTATGGGATGCCAGCGGTGTCATGCCCAAATTGGCCAGATTCTTCATAGACAGCCTACCTCAGTACCATAACCACTGTATCATGTGAGAGCGCTTCCTTTATTCATTTAATTCTCTATCTAGCGATAATGTATGATAAATACCCGGATTGGACCTGCCCCAGTACCCCTGGACTCCTGGTACAATAGGTACTATCGGTAAGTGTACTGGAGTTATTCCATACAGGAGATCCCCACCCTCTGATCTCTAATGTATTTACTAAAAAACTAAATTTCACTATTGTTTACACTCCCTCATACCTGCACGCCTGTCTTCTATATTAAGATTTGATTCTATATTACAGTCTATCAATATGTCTGTCACCTGATGTCAAGGTTTCAATGTCACCTGATGTCAAGGTTTCAATATGTCACCTGATGTCAAGGTTTCAATATGGCACCTGATGTCAAGGTTTCAATATGGCACCTGATGTCAAGGTATCAATATGGCACCTGATGTCAAGGTTTCAATATGTCACCTGATGTCAAGGTTTCAATATGTCACCTGATGTCAAGGTTTCAATATGGCACCTGATGTCAAGGTTTCAATATGATTTTTACCTGTTCTATGCTTCTGGGCGAGTTACTATGGTTACTGGGCATTTGTGAGTTTTGGAGCAGAGAAACTCCAGTGCCTGATGGGAATTGCAGTAAGTAAGTTTCTCGTTCGATCCCTGGCACTGAAAGGGTTAATGTGTCTCGGCACTGCCAGCTCTCCCCATTCAATAAATCCATTATTCTGCTCAGTAATATGAAGGAATAAATAGATGGTGCAGGAATTCTCCCCAAACTCTGTTCTTTGTGTCTGTAAAGTTCTGCCAAAACCATACAGATGCTGCCTCAATATATTATTCATTGGCCCCTGACTGGACCTGCGCAAGGGCCCCTCACTCACTAAATTCCAGCCTTTTATTAACCCCGACCATTAGATACAGGTTTCTAAACTGCCCTGTTTGAATAAGGCAAATGCTCTTTGAAGATTAAAATCTTGAAATCGCTAAAAAAAAAAAAAAAAAAAAAAGGACTATTGTCTGGTGTGTGCTCTCCCCCTCTCCCCCAAATAACTAACCACAGCCCGTTACCGTCAGATTCCAGCCTGGGAGCCTCTATTTAGAAATGATTCAATGTTTATTTCAAATAGCAACGAGTTACATCAAACCTACTCGCAGTGTATAATACAGTTAGATTATGTACGACCCCCAGGACTCATTTAGGGCCGTATTTACTAAACAGTGATCTGTGTAGCCTTCATTATCGAATTCTCTCACTTAATAACAAATAAAATTCAGATGACAACAAAATCTAACATTCGACCATGACCCAATTCTGGTTCAAAAATATAATAAATAGAAGACTTGTTCCCTTCCATTAGGTAGTGAGTGTTCAATACACCAATAATCCCTGAATAATCTCCCCACATTGAGCTAAATGCAGGGACAGGGGGGCTATGACTGGGGTGGGGCTCTGCATTTTATAACCCGCCACCTGTGTCATTAGAAGAAGGGGTGAGTTTAATTTGCTTTTAGTTTGTTAATTTGTTAATTAGGGGGAGCACAGATAAGAAAATATAAAAAAAAAATCTTATTCAGGAAGGACAAAGACCACCGTAAATGGGAGCCTCCCAGGACAGAGAGCCTGGTCAGTCTGTGGAAGAAGCCAGTCATTCCTTGGAAGCGTCAGTGAACTTTAAAACAGAAAGACTGAACTTTATACACCCCCCCCCCCCCTAATAAAAAATGTTACAACTTAATCCACACAGAGGATGTTAGTGTCACATTGGGACATGGGGGCCCCCTCTCCATAGCATAGAAATCTGCAGCCCATGCAAAGCTTGCAATCACATCAACCGATCGACTGATAGTCCTTTAACCATGTCTCTACCAGCCTGGAGCAATGGCAACCAATGGGTCAACAGCCCCAGATACCTAGAACATTCAGTGCAGAATAGTGACACACAATTACATTTAGAATCGGAAAACAAACACAGATATATATTTAGCTTTTTACATTTCTGTGTCGATTTAATAATTATTCATTAATATTTGGGTGTATGTGTGTGAATGTATTATTGTACATATAACACAAACACACACACACACAGAAACACACACACACAGAAACACACCCAAAGACACACACACACACAGAAACACACCCAAAGACACACACACAACACACATACACACACATACACACACAAACACACACACACATACACACAGAAACACACCCAAAGACACACACACACATACACACACAGAAACACACACACAGAACCTGCATGCATTTTATGAATCTATGTAAATGTTTGAAGAAAATCTTTTGGAAAATGACACTAATTATTAGAAAGTCGGCCGAATAGTTTAATCTGGATTTATTTGTGTGAACGAGGAAATATTTGCTTTGTCTGTGAATGTCTCGGAAGAACAATTGGTAAACCACTTAAATCATATTTCTTGATTTTTGGATTTCAGCCAAACAAACTACCAAAACATTGGGAAATAATTCATTTTAAACAAGAGAATAACTTGTATTATTTGTTTAAATCTGGCGTCAGTTACAAAATCTCTCTACAAGTTAATGTGAGTAAATAAAGGAGACAATGTAACCGCTTTATGTTCGCAATCATTAATAACAAAATCTTATTCCCAGGAATGGAACCAGGCGGCCAATATATAGAAATGATTTACACAGTAATCTTATTGGACACCCAGCAGATACAACGAATTAGCAATTCTTTATCGTTTATTGGCTATAACTGTTTTTGTAGAAAGTAAATTTAATTAGGAAAAAAAAACAAAACCACAAACTCCCTTCATCTTAAATGAATACGGGGATTAAGTGGGGATTCTTGCACTGAATTTCGGATGGTCAGTGTTGTTTTATTTTATTCATATTTTCTATTTTACATAAATTGGACTTTTTAGCTGTGAATTGTTCGAGGTGTTGCCAGTTTCTGTAAAGTTTTTAATTTATAAATGTGATGTCTTTTTATAGGAGATAATTCTTCCTTTGGAAATATGAGACAGCTCTGACATGTGTCTGGGTACCTGGACCCAAGTGTGGTCCTATCTCAGTGGGTTCTCCTACCTTGACCTCACTGTGGTCCTATCTCAGAGTAAGGATCTATCTCAGTGGGTTCTCCTACCTTGACCTCACTATCTCAGAGTAAGGATCTATCTCAGTGGGTTCTTCTGCCTTGACCTCAGTGTGGTCCTATCTCAGAGTAAGAACCTATCTCAGTGGGTTCTTCTACCTTGACCTCACTGTGGTCCTATATCAGAGTAAGGACCTATCTCAGACGGTTCTCCTGCCTGTGTCTTGGTACCTGGTCTTCAGTGTGATCCTATCTCAGAGTAAGGACACATCTCAGTGGGTTCTTCTACCTTGACCTCAGTTTGGTCCTATCTCAGAGTAACGACCCATCTAAGTGGGTTCTTCTACCTTGACCCTAGTGTGGTCCTGTCTCAGAGTAAGGACCCATCTTAGAGGGTTCTCCTAGAGTGTGGTCCTATCTCAGAGCAAGGCCCTATCTCAGAGGGTTCTCGAACCTGGACCGAGTGTGGTCCTATCTCAGAGCAAGGCCCTATCTCAGAGGGTTCTCGAACCTGGACCCGAGTGTAGTCCTATCTCAGAGGGTTCTCCTACCTGTGTCTCTGTGAGGCTCAGACTGTGAGCCAGCTGCTTCCTCTCTGCCCCAACCACATAATGGTTCTTCTCAAATGCGTGTTCCAGGCGCAGTAGCTGGGATGGGGAGAAGGCAGTGCGGATCCGTTTGGGTTTCCTGGCCAGTGCATTATGTAACAGAAAACTCTCCGCACTGGTATCGTTACCTGGGGACACAGCAAGAACACAGAGCTCAGACAAGGAACCAGAGCCCCCTCCCCAACACCGCCACTGCCTCTGTGTGCAGCCAGAGCAACTAACTGCCCCAGCCAGTCCTACTTACTGCCCCGCCAGTCCTACTTACTACACACAGACTGCCCCAGCCAGTCCTCCTATCTAAACACTAACTGCCCCAGTCATTCATACTCACACCAACTTCCCCAGTCATTACTACGGTATAAAATTACCTGCCCCAGTCATTTCTACTTTATAAAAATTACCTGCCCCAGTCATTTCTATTTTATATACACTAACTGCCCCAGTCATTACTACTTTATAAAAATTAACTGCCCCAGTCATTACTGCTTTATAAACACTAACTGCCCCAATCATTACTACTTTATAAAAATTAACTGCCCCAGTCATTACTGCTTTATAAAAATTAACTGCCCCAGTCATTACTATTTTATAAAAATTAACTGCCCCAGTCATTTCTATTTTATAAAAAATACCTGCCCCAGTCATTTCTATTTTATAAACACTAACTGCTGTTAGTATGTCAGAGCAACAATTACATTTCTTCAGTTCCACTAAGTATTTGTATTCATTAACTAAATGTAGTCTATAACTAGCCGGGACAGACAGACAGACAGACAGACCCGCACTGCATTACATCCATTTACACACAGTCGGCTCCCATACATTAAATATCAAGCTTTTTATTTATGGGTTAATATATTAATTAGAAGAAGCCATAGCTTTAATATAAGTACTTGGATATTTTATTAGACACGAATTAAAATGGGTTCTGAATATAAATTCCTCTTCCATAAAATATAAATCGATTAATATGCGGAATAACTGAAACAAAACATTTCTGATCGGAAATGATATTATCTGTCTGTGTTTAGATAAAGATATAAATTATTAAATCAACATCTCTTAGTTTTAAAATCGGTAAAACAATAAAATGCTAAATACTAAGAAGTTTATTTAACAAACAGCGAATTCGAATCATTTAAATTAAATAGGACATTCTGTGAAATCCCTGACTTGCTGCTTCGGACATTTTTTTTTTTCATTTCTATTTATTCTGTAATATTTTGCGATTCGCTTTTTTTGATCCACGTCAATTCGCAATTTAGTGAATAAACCCGAATGGGAACGATTTTGAAATGAAAGCAGTAGCTGTGTATATTAATAGCCATACATTGCTTTACACAGAGAGCGATTTATTGTTTACAAGACTATCTGCCATGACTGATTCTCCACTCGCCCAATGTGCTTCTAATTATCTCCACTTCGGTATCTCTCGCTGCTAAAAACGTCAGAGTCCAACTAAACCTCAAAAACCACTTCGATCTCTCCCCTTCTGGGGGCACACTCAAATGGATTTACTGGGAGAAGAGGGAACACAAAGTTCACGTTTATTTACTAAACTTCGAATTGTAGCGAATTATAATCTAAACGGGGAAAATTAGTCAAAAACATCCCATATGTGAAATTAATTAAGTTTGGAGAATTTTTTTTTTTTGTGTGCAAATAAGCTTTTTTTTTTTTTTTATTAAATATTGTTACTGGAATTAAACTGCTTTACAATGTGGAGTTTAAAAGTCAAATTCTTCAATAATTGGTTTATATTCGACCCCCCCGTCAGCCAGTCCCAGCATCGAAGATTTCGTTTAGGAGGTGTTTATAGGGTCTCTGCCTGTATCCCAGCAGGAAAACCAACAGAGGAAATTCAATGATCCCAGATCACCAAGCATTGTCCAGGTAGAATAAAAATAAGAGACTAATCAGTGGAGAGGCCTAAAATTATTAAAGGAGTAATTAAACATTATTTACATTACTGGGTTTATTTTAATCACGGGTTTCTTCGATGAGATGGGTTTTCACTGATTAATGTAATGTTATATGTATAATATATAATACAATATACATTATACACAAATACAAAATGATGTTTTAAAAGGAAGATATTACCTATTCACACATCTTCTCTCACAAATATCTACATTTACATAACCACAAATATATCATTCACTCCGCTTTTATTAAACATTAAAAGCTTCCTTGTGACAAGTGCATGATCAGCCTGTAAAAATAGACTATTTGTTTAAAAGATTATATATCATAGTGCATCCCCTCGTGGTACATTGATTTTAATGTAAACTGAATTTTTTTGAATATTCTTGTTTTCACAAACTGCTTCTAAGATCCACAAATGCCGCTTGCTTTACGTCCAAATTAACATATGTTTTTAATTCCCAGATAAATCAGCATGTGGCCATATTCTAATAGATCTATTTATACTGCGAGGCATTTTTATTCTATTTTGTCATAAGTTTCCAATTGTCACTGTTATGGGAATTAGTTTAAAAAAAAAAAAAAGAGAGAAAAAAAGGTGACTAATAAGCAAATGAACTGAATATTTTTTTTGTGAAAACAATCCGCGTTTGCCGAGCCAGCTGTTTGTGTCTGTATTGATGTTGCTGTTGGTTAATATTTGTGTCAGTGTTTGTCTTTGAATGTAACAATGTTTTCCTTCGAACGTTCTGATGTTTATAAAATGAAAGTTACATTGTTAGCGGTTGGAGCAAGTTCCCAGGGCTGACATGTCGTGTTAGTATAATAAACTCCTAATGCTGCACTTTTACTCACTTTGAACGCACACATTCACTTTTTCCTCACGAATTCTGGCTTTTTTTTTTCTCTTTCATCACAAAAATGAATCCTGTGAAAAGTTTCACTTTTCTTTCAGGAAGGAGTCTACCCGCAGAACTGTCCAGGAACAGACACTTACCTTGGAATCTGTGTCCCAGATATCTGTAGCGATGTATTAACCAGGGATAGAAAGTCGATGGGTCCCTTTGCTGAGAGGTAAAGAGTGGGTGCGGAGAGTGCGGGGTGGGCAGGGGGTGAGCTGCCAGGGCATGGGGTGGGGGCACTGGGTGAACTGGCACAGCCGGGTTAGGGGGGTGTGATACAGCCTCTGCGAAGACCAGGTCCGTGTTAGGGTAGACCCCCCTGCCAGTGGAGTGGAAGCCATTGAGGAAGGGGTTGATGGGGCTGGAGTTGGCATAGCTGAGGGCAGCTGGTCTGATGGGCTCCTCGGAGCGAGAGACTGGCAAAGGGCTGTCCTTGGCCACCAAGGATTCGATGGTGAAGCACCTCTTTGGTGTGGGCTGAAACATGGTTCCCCAAAACTCCTGTCCCCCTGTGTCAGCCAGGGGTGGGGGGAGGAGAGGGGCCACACAGAGGAACAGAAAGTAGGTCAGAAGCTGGTCTCTTCCCCAAATAAGGAATCCTGTGCTGTGGAGCTCTGGGTGCAGTGATTGGAGCTCAGTGAGGGGCAGAGCTCTGGCTGTCCTAGCCTTGCAAGCTTCCTGGGTGAGTGGGTCAGCAAGTCCGCAGACAATCCATGATGTGCAGGGCTCTGCCTAGCGATGTGTGAGTGTGAGTGAGTGTGCGGCTAATTAGTGACACACAGCTCCCTGCGCAGCCGCCTGGCGCACTCATTGGACATTGCGCACAGGGGAGGCGCACAGTGCGTCAGAGCGCAAAGCCTGGAGCCAGGAATCCAAGCTGGGAACGGGCAACCAGCTATCACACAGGCCTCAGCTACAGCCAACTAGTTACTAGAGGGGCTCAGAGACTGGGACTGGGGGGGAGGGGGGGGGCAGAGACTGGGACTGGTGGGGCTCGAGACTGGACTGGTGGGGGCTCAGAGACTGGGGCTCAGAGACTGGGACTGGTGGGCCCAGAGACTGGGACTGGGGAGAGACTGGAGGGGCTCAGAGACTGGGACGGGGGAGACTGGGACTGGGGAGACAGAGAGGGACTGAGAGGGGGCTCAGAGACTGGGGGGGCCCAGAGACTGGGGGGGAGGGGGACTGGACAGGACTGGGGGGGGCCCAGAGACTGGGACCTGGGGGCTCAGAGACTGGGACCAGCTGGGACTGGGGGCTCAGAGACTGGGACTGGGGGGCTCAGAGACTGGGACTGGGGCCCAGAGACTGGGACTGGGAAAGAGACTGGGTCTGGGGCAGGGGACTGGGGGGACTGGGTGGGGGGCCCAGAGACTGGGACTGGGGGGACAGAGACTGGGACTGGTGGGGGGACTGGTGGGGCCCTGAGAGAGAGATTGGGACTGGGGGCAGAGACTGGGACCGGGGCCCAGAGACTGGGACTGGTGGGGCCTGGACTGGGGGGGCTCAGAGACTGACTGGGGGCCCCAGAGACGACTGGAGGGGGCCTGAGACTTGACAGGGGCCTCATAGACTGGGACTGGGGGCCTCAGAGACTGGGACTGGGGGCTCAGAGACAGGGACTGGGAGGGCTCAGAGACTAGGACAGGTGGGGCCCAGAGACCGGAACTGGGGCCCAGACTGGGACTGGGGGCAGAGACTGGGACTGGGGGGAGACCGGGACTGGTGGGGGCTGAGACTGACTGGGGGCTCCAGAGACTGGCAGGGGGCTCAGAGAGACTGGAACTGGGGTCTCAGAGACTGGAACTGGGGCTCAGAGACTGGGGGCTCAGAGACTGGGACTGGGGGGGCTCAGAGACTGGGGCTGGGGGGGCTCAGAGACTGGGATACAGTCTGGGGGTAGCTCAGAGACTGGGGGGACAGGAATACAGTCTGGGGGGGCTCAGAGACTCAGACTGGGGGGACTCAGAGACTGGGACTGGGCGGGCTCATGGACAGGAATACAGCCTGGAGGGGGCGTCAGAGATTCAGAGACTTAGACTGGGGGGGCTCAGAGACTGGGACTGGGGCAGGGCCGGACTGGGAACTAAAAGCAGCCCTGGAAAAAAATTCTATACCAGCCCAATAATGCGTCGCGCCAGCATAGTGCGCAGATACAGAGTTAGAACAGATAACTTAAAAAATTAAAAAATTATTACTCCAATGTGAAAAAAAAGTACTCATAGGCTTCAAAATAAACAAAAGTGCAGATTTATTTTAAGCAGATGTGCCTTTGCATGTAATCAATGTTTCAGTCCAACTACCTTGACATATTAAGGAAAGCTTGTTAATGGGACTGAAATGGTGAATGTATGTAGGGCACAACTGTAAAAAATTTTATTTTGAAGTCCTGTGGGTGTGCTCTTCACTTTAAATATGTTATTGTGCTGGAGTATGCACCTAGCAACAAGACTGGGCAAATATCTGCTCATTACATATGGTACATATTAATGACATTTCTCTGTGTATTATGCATTTATAAATGTACATTAATATGTGTAAATATAATAGGCATATATATATATAACTAATACATACATTAATATACATGTCATATATATCTACCTCTGTGTGCCTATTCCCCCCGCCCCAGTCCCTCTGTATGTTTCTTTCTCCCCCTCACTGCTCCTCTGTGTCCATGTCTCCCCTCTCCTTCCCCCTGTCTCTTTTCCCCCTCCCCCTGTGTCTCTCTCTTCCCCCTGTGTCTCTCTCCTTTCTCCCCCTCCCCCTGTGTGTCTCTCCCTTTGTGTCTCTCTCTCCCCATCTCTCTTCCCCTCTGTTTCTTTCTCCTCCCTCCACCATCTCTCTATTTCCCCTCTTTCTCTCCCTGTGTTTCATTCTTCCCCCTCTGTCTCGTTCTCCCTCTTTTCCCTGTGTCACTCTCTCTCCCCCTCTGTCTCTTTCCTTCCCCTTCTCCTGTGTCTCTTTCTATTTTCCCACTGTCTCTTTCTCCCCCCTCCTCTTGTGTCCCTCTATTCCCTTTCTGTCTCTTTTCCCCCCTCCCATTTACCAAAAGAAGTCAGAGGGGGGCGGCTGCGTTCCATGCATACTCCCTCTCGGTTCCCACAATTCCCAGCACAGTATGATGTGGCTGTGCTGGGAATTGTGGGAACCGCGAGGGAGCATGATAGAGAGACATGCTCTCTCCTTCAGTCTTCCTATGCTGACAGCTCACTGCTGACAGCATTAGCAAGTGTGCTGCCATACCAGCTGGGTGGCCACCCGGCCCAGCGGCACCAGCGTGGAACGCGGCCAGCTCCCTCAGAGTGTGCCACCGGACCAGCCTACATGCGCAGCCCCCAGTTGCCGCGGCCCACTGGGAAATTTCCTGGTATCCCAGTGGGCCAGTCTGGCCCTGGACTGGGGGGGAGGGCTCAGAGACTAGGACTGGGGGGGCTCATGGACAGGAATACAACCTGGGGGGAGGGGCTCAGAGTCAGGGATACAACCTGAGGGTAACTCAGATCTTGGAACTTGGGGGTCTTAGATTGGAGCAATGGGGGTCGGGAAACTCAGATCCTGTAAAAGAGAGGTGATGGACGGTGCTCAGACCCAGGGATTGTGGGGGACTTACTGTGTGGGACTGGGGACTGACAGTTTCTGAGTAAGGGTGCTTAGACTCTAGGATTGGGAAAAGAGGTATCTGCAGAAAACATACCGGGTCAATTTTTATACCAAAGAAACAACCATTTACGAGAGGGCAGTATTTTTTCCTTCCTGCCCTGTGCAGTAGCAAAGTAGGGCTCAGAGTAGGGACTGTTAGAGTCATACACCATTGAACTGGGGACCAGAGTCTGGAATGGGGGGTCAGAGTCTGGAATGGGGGGTCTGGGTCTGGTAATGGGGGGCACTGAGTCTTGAATGGGGGGCACTGAGTCTGGGAATGGAGGGCACTGAGTCTGGAATGGGAGTCTGGTCTGGAATGGGGGTCTGGGTCTGCAATGGGGGTCTGGGTCTGGTAATGGGGGGTCTGGGTCTGGGCCGGGGGCACTGAGTCTGGAATGGGGGTCTGAGTCTGGAATGGAGGGCAATTGAGTCTGGAATGGGGGTCTGGGTCTGGTAATGGGGGCACTGAGTCTGGAATGGGGTCTGAGTCTGGGAATGGGGCACTGAGTCTGGAATGGGGGTCTGGGTCTGGTAATGGGGGTCTGGGTCTGGTGTGGGGGCACTGAGTCTGGAATGGGGGGTCTGGGTCTGGTAATGGGGGGCACTGAGTCTGGAATGGGGAGTCTGAGTCTGGAATGGGGGGTCTGGGTCTGGTAATGGGGGGCACTGAGTCTGGAATGGGGGGTCTGGGTCTGGTAATGGGGGGCACTGAGTCTGGAATGGGGGGTCTGAGTCTGGTAATTTTGCCCAGCTGATATTTGTATTATAAGAACCACAATTATCTGAATACATTTAAATTACATTTGTTCAACTACAGATTTATTTACATATATTTCAGAAATATCACTGTTTGTACTACGTAACATTGCTGCAATGTTATAAATTATTTATAACTCATGATTCTTCGATAATACATTTTATTTTTTATCTGGAAACTATTATTACAAATTTTCTGCATTCTGGGGATTTGAAATTACAACTCCCAATGGTAGTGGGGTGTCAGTATTCCCCATACAGTTGGGGTGTCAGTATTCCCCATACAGTTGGGGTGTCAGTATTCCCCTTACAGTTGGGGTGTCAGTATTCCCCATACAGTTGGGGTGTCAGTATTCCCCATATAGTTGGGGTGTCAGTATTCCCCTTACAGTTGGGGTGTCAGTATTCTCCATACAGTTGGGGTGTCATTATTCCCCATACAGTTGGGGTGTCATTATTCCCCTTACAGTTGGGGTGTCGCTATTCCCCACACAGTTGGGGTGTCACTATTCCCCTTACAGTTGGGGTGTCAGTATTCCCCTTACAGTTGGGGTGTCAGTATTCCCCATACAGTTGGGGTGTCACTATTCCCCTTGCAGTTGGGGTGTCAGTATTCCCCTTACAGTTGGGGTGTCAGTATTCCCCTTACAGTTGGGGTGTCACTATTCCCCTTACAGTTGGGGTGTCAGTATTCCCCTTACAGTTGGGGTGTCACTATTCCCCACACAGTTGGAGTGTCACTTTTCCATTTACAGTTGGGGTGTCAGTATTCCCCATACAGTTGGGGTGTCGCTATTCCCCTTACAGTTGGGGTGTCAGTATTCCCCATACAGTTGGGGTGTCAGTATTCCCCAGGCAGTTGGGGTGTCACTATTCCCCATACAGTTGGGGTGTCACTATTCCCCACACAGTTGGAGTGTCACTTTTCCATTTACAGTTGGGGTGTCAGTATTCCCCATATAGTTGGGGTGTCAGTATTCCCCATATAGTTGAGGTGTCAGTATTCCCCATGCAATGGTGCAATGCGCTATGATAGTGCCCTATAAAGCCAGCTTGCCCCATTCTCTGACACACAGACTAGTGAGGGAGCCCCCTGGCACTGCAGGGGTATGTGGGTTACCTGTTTAGACGCTCAGACAGCAGTTATATGGTTTTTTGTTTTCCTTCCAGCCCGGATAGCTAGGGTTAAACATGTCATCTCCATCACCTGCCATTCGTATGATCCTCTGAGCTACTAACCGCAGAAGAGTATTAGGGCCTCATTCATTAATTTATTCAGTTTTCTAATAATAGCAAACAAATCACAATACCTTGGCCATTCTCCAATACTTCTAGTGTACTCAGCACTTTACAGGTTACATTACAGTAGAGGGCGGTACAGTAAGTGCAGTAGGTATACAGTGTATGTATATTTTATTTATATAGCGCTAACAGGTGTACTCAGCACTTTACAGGTTACATTACAGTAGAGGGAGGTACACTAAGTGCAGTAGGTATACAGTGTATGTATATTGTATTTATATAGCGCTAACAGGTGTACTCAGCACTTTACAGGTTACATTACAGTAGAGGGAGGTACAGTAAGTGCAGTAGGTATACAGTGTATGTATATTGTATTTATATAGCGCTAACAGGTGTACTCAGCACTTTACAGGTTACATTACAGTAGAGGGAGGTACAGTAAGTGCAGTGGGTATACAGTGTATGTATATTTTATTTATATAGCGCTAACAGGTGTACTCAGCACTTTACAGGTTACATTACAGTAGAGTAAGGTACAGTAAGTGCAGTAGGTATACAGTGTATGTATATTATATTTATATAGCGCTAACAGGTATACTCAGCACTTTACAGGTTACATTACAGTAGAGGGAGGTACAGTAAGTGCAGTAGGTATACAGTGTATGTATATTTTATTTATATAGCACTAACAGGTGTACTCAGCACTTTACGGGTTACATTACAGTAGAGGAAGGTACAGTAAGGGCAGTAGGTATACAGTGTATGTATATTTTATTTATATAGCGCTAACAGGTATACTCAGCACTTTACAGGTTACATTACAGTAGAGGGAGGTACAGTCAGTGCAGTAGGTATACAGTGTATGTATATTATATTTATATATAAGCTAACAGGTGTACTCTCAGCCGTTACACAGGTTGTTACAGTGGGGGTATAGTAAATTACGGAAGGTATCACAGATTGTATGTATATTTTATTTATATAGCACTAGCAGGTGTACTCAGCACTTTACAGGTTACATTACAGTAGAGGGAGGCACAGTAAGTGCAGTAGGTATACAGTGTATGTATATTTTATTTATATAGCGCTAACAGGTGTACTCAGCACGTTACAGATTACATTACAGTAGAGGGAGGCACAGTAAGTGCAGTAGGTATACAGTGTATGCATATTTTATTTATATAGCGCTAACAGGTGTACTCAGCACTTTACAGGTTACATTACAGTAGAGGGAGGTACAGTAAGTGCAGTAGGTATACAGTGTATGCATATTTTATTTATATAGCGCTAACAGGTGTACTCAGCACTTTACAGGTTACATTACAGTAGAGGGAGGTACAGTAAGTGCCGTAGGTATACAGTGTATGTATATTTTGTTTATATAAGCGTAACAGGTGTACTCCGGCGCACACGGGTTACATTACGGTAGAGGGGAGGGGTACACTGGTGCGAAGTGGGTAGCCACCCAGTGTATGTATATTTTATTTATATATAAGAGCTAGCCGGGTATTTTCAGCGCACTTTGGGTTACATTACAGTGGGGGTACAGTAAGTGCAGTAGGTATGGTCTTATGTATATTATATTTATATAGCGCTAACAGGTGTACTCAGCACTTTACAGGTTACATTACAGTAGAGGGAGGTACAGTAAGTACAGTGGGTATACAGTGTATGTATATTATATTTATATAGCGCTAACAGGTGTACTCAGCACTTTACAGGTTACATTACAGTAGAGGGAGGTACAGTAAGTGCAGTAGGTATACAGTGTATGTATAATATATTTATATAGCGCTAACAGGTGTACTCAGCACTTTACAGGTTACATTACAGTAGAGGGAGGTACACTAAGTGCAGTAGGTATACAGTGTATGTCTACTTCATTTATATAAAACTTAGCACAGTGATTCTAGCCTAAAACAAGCAGCCAAGCACAAGATGTGTCCTTTTGTGACATTCCTCAGTTTCACATCTAATTTCAAAAGCTCCAACAATTCACTGATAGTTTCTGGAATATGTAAACGTTGTATTTACAGGATACAAAGTAAGGCTCTCTCATTAGCAAACCTGTAGCTTTATTTAACTAATATTCCTGCTCTCTGCAAATCCCAGCTCTGTGCTCAGAGTACAGGCAGTACAGGCAGGCTGGGAGCCCCAGGATCCCCTACAATGATCCAGTGTCCATGTGTTCCATCTCACCCGGCCCCTAGGGGCAGCACAGGGCTGGAGATCACATGTCATTGGTCAGAATGATTGTGATTATACATATTGCTGCTTGCTTATTGGTTGCTGAAGGTCCATTATCTATTTATCAGTCTACTAGTTTTGCCAATTACATTGTCCTAAAGTGAAGTAGCAGCAGGTATTTGGGCAGTTTTACAATTAATGATAAGATGGGGGGGGGGGGGGGGGGTCAGGAGTGGCCTCTCAGTCATTACAAGAGCTGGGTAATTTACCTTACAGATGTGAATACCAAGAGATGGGTTTATCAGGAGAATACAAGCTTACAGAATCTTAAAAGAAAACTAGTTTAAATTAGAGCTGGACAGTTAACCCTTTCACACACAGATATAGAAACTCAGAGTTAATTTCACTGAACTATGTCTGTCACAGCAACTACACTGGGGGGGTGGGGGGGGTATGAATATTAGTGGAATTTAGTCAATGTAACATTATACAATATACATGAGACTGTGATCTATAAATTATCGATCAATCTGCTATCAATGCTAGATCTATACATCGATAGACAGATAGAGAGAGAGAGAGAGAGAGAGAGAGAGAGAGAGAGAGAGATGGATGGATAGAGAGAGAGAGAGAGAGAGAGAGAGAGAGAGATGGATGGATAGATAGATAGATAGATAGATAGATAGATAGAGAAAGAAAGACAGATGGATGGATAGAGAGAGAGAGAGATAGATGGATGGATAGATAGAAGTGTGTATATGTTTATAATTATTTCTGTATTTGTAATTATAATTTATTGATATGGGATACATTATTTTAAGTACCGGCATTTCCCCCCCCCCAGTTTAGACATTTTGTAGATTTCCTGCCCTTTGAATACAATGAATATTCTAGATATAAATGAATGGATGCGGTCCTGCCAGGTTGGAGGTCTGTTTTGGGCTGGGGTTTTTTTTTGGCCTGGGCAGGGTGGGACCCCCTTAACCCGTTTTAGGGGTGCATGCAGCATACAGTGGTGGTGGTGGTGGGGAGTTAATTTGATATAATTCATTCTCCAGGCTGAAACATTAAAAAAGCAAAATAAAACGGGTAAAGCTGGATATCTCCGAATGTGATCAGTAAATCTGCTCTGTGCGATATTTGTGTTCACTTCGCTTTATTTCATATTAATTCCCAATATATTCATCCGATAAAATTCCTGGATTTAATCTGCTTTAATCACTGGATAATTCCCAGAACTTCAAACCGGAACCAATCCGTGATCATTTATTATTCTGTATAATAATAATAATAATAATAATAATAATAATAATAATAATAATAATAATAAAACAAACTGTATGGTTTAGTAAATAACCTTCAATAAACCCTGCTTTACCTGGGAGTTAGCGACACAGCTCGGGATATACTATGTATCTCTCCAAATAAAATCAATAACATTATTATTATTATTATTATTATTATTATTATACATTTATTTATTTATCTACATCCTCAGTATTACACAGGAATTAATTTACACCCTCAGAATATTATACACAACACTCACACAAACTATATAAAACAAAATACACCCCACATCTCCCCACATAAAATATACATAACGA